TGCATAGTATTCCATGGTGTACGTGTGTGTACCACATTTTCTTTATCCAGTCTACCATTGATGGGCATTTAGGTTGATTCCATGTCTTTGCTATTGTGACTAGTGCTGCACTGAACATATGTGTGCATGTGTCTTTGTGATAGAACAGTTTATATTCCTTTGGGTATATACACCCAGTAATGGGATTGCTGGGTCAAATGGTAGTTCTGTTTTTAGCTCTTTGAGGAATTGCCACACCGTTTTCCACAATGGTTGAACTAATTTATACTCCCACCAACAGTGTAAAAATGTTTCCTTTTCTCCACAACCTTGCCAGCACCTGTCATTTTTTGAGTTTTAATAATAGCCATTCTGACTGGTGTGACATGGTATCTCATTGTGGTTTTAATGTGCAATTCTCTAATGATCAGTGATGTTAACCTTTTATTCATATGCTTATTGGTTGCATGCATGTCTTCTTTTGAAAAGTGTCTGTGCATGGCTGGGCACCGTGGCTCACGCCTGTAATTCCAGCACTTTGGGAGGCCAAGGTGAGTGGATCACTTGAGTTCAGGAGTTTGAGACCACCCTGGCCAACATGGTGAAACCTCGTCTCTATGAAAAGTACAAAAATTAGCTTGGCATAGTAGCATGTGCCTGTAATCCCAGTTACTCAGAAGGCTGAGGCACGAGAATCGCTTGAACCCAGGAGGCAGAGGTTGCAGTGAGCCGAGATTGTGCTACTGCACTCCAGCCTGGGCAACAGGTGAGACTGTCTCAAAAATAAAAGAAAAAACAAAAAGCGTCTGTTCATGTTCTTTGTTTACTTTTTAATGGGGTGGGTTGTTTTTTGCTTGTAAAAAGCAAAAATTGACAAACTGGACCTAATTAAGGAGCTTCTGTACAGCAAAGTAAACTATCAACAGAATAAAGAGACAACCTACATAATGGGAGAAAATATTTGCTAACTACGCATCTGACAAAAGTCTAACACCCAGCATCTAAAAGGAACTTAAATTCCTTTTAGAATGAAATCTAAATCCTTTCCTCTGGCCTAGAGGGCTCTGAATGATAGTGTGGCCTTTTTTTTTTTTAATGTTTTCTTGTGCCTATCTTACCACCAGCTCACCTAACATATTTGAAGAAATGAAAGATCACACACCAATCTTACATATTTGAAGAAATGAAAGATCATGCACTGATCTTTCATTTCTTCAAATATGTTAGGCCTATTTCCCACCTCAGGGTCCTTGCACATGTTGTACTCTTTGCTTGGGGTCCTCTTCTTCTCTATTATTTGCATAATTGGTGCCACCCATGAGGTCTTAAATGTCACGATTTTAGAGAGACCTTCCCTAGCCCCCAAGTCTAAGTACATTCTCACATTCTTTCATTGGATCCTGGACTTTGTATTTTTAGTGTTTAAACATTTGTACCATTTCTTTTTCCCATTTACGACTGGGAGATCCAGAAAGACAGGGACCATGGAGCATTTATTCACTATTGTAAATCTAGTCCTTCCACTTTAAGCCAGGCAGATGGCCAAATATTGTTAACTTTTTGGCCTCAGATAAAGGGCTGCCTCGACAAGCGTCAGCACTCTTGCCACTCTTGGCTTACACATGGCTGTGAGAACTTGAGCATTTTCCTAGAAGAGGTTTAGAATACAGTACGTGTCATGGAAGTCTTTGCCATGGCTTAAATGACCTTTTATCTGGGGATCTTCCCTTGTTATGACCTCACTAATCAGCCCCCGTTTTTGGTATTTGAAGTAAAACTCTAGAGATTTAGAAATGAAGTCTTGCTTTGTTAAGAAAAAAGAATAAAAAAGCATGAGTTCTTTCACTGTGTAGAGTAAGAAGAAATTTATGATGGGTTGCTCTTGTACCTGCATTTGATTCGGAATTTGCTTTTGGGTCTCTTACGATCAAATACTATTTATTAATATAAGTAGTAGTTAAGATCTATGTTCTAGATGAGTTCAAATTTTATTCTTTTGCTCCCTAGCTGTAGTACCTTGAGTACATCATTTAAGTTTTCTCAACCTCAGTTTCTCCATTTTTTAAAAAAAGGGGTTGGGGGATAGTTGTGTCTACCTTATAGCATTGTTTTGGGGATTTCCTAAGGTAATATATAATTATTTACCTAGTGCCTGCCATACAGCAATCATTTCACAGAAGATGACTATTATTATTCTTTGTAAATACTTTGAGAGAGATAGCTTAATGTAATAGAAAGAACGTTAGGCTGAGAATCAATAATCTTGACTTCAAGTCTTAGCTTTACCAGTCATAAACTGTGTGAAGGCAGAAACATCATTTGACCTGTCCGAGCCTTAATATCCTCATCTGTAAAAGGTCACAAGCAAAATGGCCTGACTTGCCGTAAGGATTAAATAAGATAAAAATGTAAATGTACTTTGTAAACTATAAATCACTATATACTATGTACAAATCTTGGAAGTCACTGGCTTTTCTCTTTAAAAATAGGATGGTTATGACTCAATATTAAAGAAAAGTAGGTACAGAGTTCAGATAGCTCAAAATTCAACTGGTTCTACAATGGGAAATACAAATTTTGATGTTACCATCTAAGACACAGTCATATTTGGTAGCATTCTACTTGCTTAGTTATTTTGTCTTTTTTTTTTTTTTTTTTTTTAAAGAGGCAGCCAGCATGACTATAAAAACTCTCACTATAGTTGCAAATCGATTTTTCCGGAGCACATATATTCAGCCTCCTGGAATTCCAGGCAGTATTCTTGGACTCATTCCCTAAGTTCACTTATGGAAAGTAAATACTACCTCGAAAGTAAAATTAGGCTTGTCAAGTCACTGTTTTTTCAGTCTGACACATTGTTTGCTTTAGCTGAAGTTATTTTCACATTCATATGAATCTACCCAACGTTCTCTCTCCTTTGAGTGGTGCAGCAAGTGAGTCTGATGACTTCTTTACAGGAGGATTATTTAAAATTTTAAAACCTCCTTTATATTTAGTGAGCAAGCTGTTTTTAAATGAACACAGTCTAAAGGACCCTGGAAGCATAGTGCTGTCATATTTTTTGTGTTATTTATTCACAGATATTAGGAATATGTCATTGCAGAAAATGACTCAGCTGGTGTAGGGTAACCTTTTTGGTTCTTTTCCACTTGGAGCCTGAGAATATGATTGAACAAGCTGCTAAACTTTAGGAGCATACTACAGTTGACTGAATTTTTTCTACTTTCGTTTCATTTTTCACTTAGAATTGCATGAATGGACGAATTCGAGATAATAAACTCATGCTTAGTATTTTGTGGATCTGCTATAGAGAGGTCTTTCACCAGGTTCAGCAGTAGGGTATGCATAGGAGTGGGTTCATTCTAGATACCGCTACATTGATGTCATCCTTCATTTTCTCATCTTGGATCCTTCTTATCCAATAAAAATCCAAGTTGTGTTGATATTTTTTGATTTAGCCATCCTCACTGCCAAGCTAGCTTCTGCAATAGTCTCTCAACAGGTTTTCTGTTCATCTACCAGTGCCCCTTCCAATTCATTAATTCCCCGGCATTTAGAGTGAGTGATGCGGAACATAAACTGGATCATACCTCACTCTTCCCTAAAATCCTTTAGTGCTTTCCCACTGCCTTTTGGGTACAGCCCAGAAGCCTTCCAGAGATGACTGACTCCTGCTCATTCTTTAAAATTCAGCTCACACATCATTCTCAAGGAAACCTTCCCTGTCACCTCTGACCCAGGTTAAGTCTCTGGCAAACAAGTGGACACTGGAGGCAGCTTGTTTGGGTTTGTATCCTAGTTCTGCCACTTTTTACTTTTGTGAGCTTGGGCAATTTATGTAACCACTTTGGGCCTGTTTCCTCAACTATCAAACAGGGATGATGAAGGCCTTATCCAAGAGGGCTGGCTGTGAGGATTGCCTGAAGAGCACACATAAAACACTGGGAAGAGGATGTGTAGTAAACATTCTTTCCAGAATGCTCTGCAGTTCTTAGTGGTTTTCTCACTGCCATTAAACAGTCATGTGAGAAAGTCTCAAAGAAATGAAGTAAATGTTATACTGAATAAACAAATGATAAGGCTGGGGGCGGGGGAGGGAGAATTGAGAACTTATCTGGACCTTAGTTAGCTCACATATAAAATTACAGGCAGTGAAACTAGGTTACCCCAGCTACTTCCCTCAGCACTCTGCATACCAGTATTCTGGCAAGTAGGGAACAGCAGATGCATGAAAATGAAAACTAGAATCTGTTTGCTCTTTCTTACTACTTTAACCTGTGGGTCTAAGAGGACTGGAGGTGAACTAAAGAAATGATTTTGCTTTACCTTACAAACTATAGAGGACTTTCTTTTTCACCCCAAACGGCCTTTCTAATTGTAGCTAAGTAGAAATAAATAGGACAATGTCAAAGGAAAATAATGTGATCTATAAAGAAAAGTCCAGGCAAATGTAAACAAAGCTCACTTACTAAACATTTAACTTAAAAAATAAACAATAGTGCCATTAACCTCCTATTCTTTCCTTTTGTTTATATAAAACACCAGATAGATATGTCATTTAATTTAGACTTGGAAACTCACTTTATTTCAACCAAAATGATATCCTCAGATGCTGTTCTGCTAAAATAGTGAAAGGCTGGATCAATAAAACTCTCAGAGTGTAACTGTAAGAATTATTTGTTGCCAAATAGTCTTCCTATTAGACTGTATAAGGCTATTGTATTTCATAGTGAGCCTTTACTCTTATCACTATTTATATTTGCTCCTGAAAACATAATTTACAATAAAATTGCTGCCTAATTTATGAGGAGAAAGTTAATGGACTGTGAAACCGAAGTTAAGTTTCATTGTGTATATATATGCAAACATAAACAGAACTTGAACAACTTTGTACTTGATTTTCAAAGCTGGAATTCAGTGAAAAGGGAAGGACGGGGAAAAACCTGAATCACTTATTTAGTGAAATTTGTAAGTTTCACAGGAATTTAAGTCCTACTGTTGTTGATATGAACACACCTCACCTTGACTGACCGTTCGCTGTTACGAGTGGCTCTTCTTTTCCACGTGCCGGATTTCTTTCTTCGTTTTCACCTTAAAACCTTCTCCCTGCTTTAAAAGGAATGTACATATTAAGATTTCATAGTAAAAGAGTTTTGGTTATAAAGCAGTCCCATTCTGATCCTTGGAGGCTGGATTAGGACAAGTGAAACAGTTTAAAGCACTTTGTCACTTCATGTCCAAAAATATATACAATCTTTAGCTTAACCACACAGTTTAGCATCATCAAGGCAAGCTAGAGAGCACTGTCAAAGTGAATACAACATAATCGTACTTGACAATAATTCAGTAGGTTAGTGATAAATCAAAATAATGAGCAGCCTGTCCATTTCCTATAGTAGGCTAAAAGAAATCATCACCACAGCTCACAAGGCGGCAGAATTGTAACCAATCTGTTGCAATGAGACTCAAACTTCTTAGTTAAGTACTAATCCATGGAGATGCTGTTGATCCGAGGGACTATTTTTTAGTGGAATTGCCAATGACTTCCTCTTACTGTCAGACCAAGGAAGCATCTATTTTCTATAAACAAATCCTCTCTCTTCACTGGGAATCAGGAATACAGCTTCCCGAGAGCAAAGTTGTGGCACACATACTCAGTTTTTACCCTATTTTTAACAGCAAACAAATGAAGCCTTTTCAATTTTCTGATTTGTACTTCTGATAAATTTTCAGTTTACTTTTTCTAATGTAAACATAGTCTATTGAAGTTTCTATTTTTAAATTGAAAAGGGTAGAGATCCGAGAAACAAGTGAAAAATAACCAGAGATGTTTTCTCTGAGAGAAAGGGGTTGATTGGAGGGATTCTTTAACTGGCACATTGGAAATGGGCTGTTATAAACCCAAAGAGGGGAACCCCCACCTCAGATTAGGATGGAGGAATTCAGATTTCCCACAGAACGTGTTGGAAAGAGAAGATGTATGGATCTGATGTGCAGATCTTGAACTGAGCCTTTTGCCATTCTAACTTTTAAAGCCTGTGCTTTTGGAGTGCTCTCCGCCCATGTCCCAACAGACACGCAGCTGAAGGCCAAGCCCTGGGTGGGGCTGAGGCACTGCTCTGAGGTTTGGTGGTGAAGGATTTTATCTTCTTTCTCCCTCAAACTGGCACATTCTGTCCCCTATAAATGACCTTATCTCTGTGAAAATTCTGAAGACAGTTTAAAAAAAAAAAAAAGTATGTAACAAAGAATGTTAGGAAGAAAAGTATTTTTCTTTGACTCCGATCAAATGCATAAGATGTCAAAAGCAGCAAACACTTCAAGCTGCCACACTGCAGATGCCAGCCTGTTAGCAGCAATTTCTAGGGAGCGCACAAAGCTTTTGTCCTCTACATTCTCTTTGGCAATCCCGCTCCATTACCACATCATCATGTTTTCTCTCTTGTGGGATAACAATCCGTCTTAATACTTTCCGAGTGATCTGTAGGAAGTAATGGTGAAAAGTAGAGATTTTTCTGTTTCAGGAGGTGACACTACAGCACAAAAGTAACAGAGTTTTTAATGCAGAAAATCTAAATTCCAAGAGAAGTATGAAATCTCAATGATGATTACTTTTCTGGTGATGAGGTTGCCTTCTTCATCGGTAAATTGTTCTTCTGTGACAGATTCACCAGGTATGTTTTTTGCTTCCTCTCCCTAAAGGATGTGGCATAAAGATTAGCAACATACTAGATGGAGAAATCACACTAATCCAAACACCACACACATGCTCTGGAATTTTAGAGAAAGAAGTTGTAAATTCTACTTGCTACTCCAGTGCAAGGGAAAAAGGCTGATTTCACTGACAGTTATTTAGCAGTCAACAACATTCAAGCATTAAACCTCAAGGATGTATAAGAATGATGGTTAGCAACAGATTCCAGAAGGAAGAATTTGAAAATACATAATTATAGGATGCAGTTACACACTGTAAACCAAAAGGCTTCATATGTTGAAACAAATTTTAGCCGAGGATTAGAGCTCTGATTAGATCGTCTCACTTTGAGCACTGTTTTTTCTTCATTAGTTCTACCAAATCTCTAGAGATTTTTGTGGATTGAGTTTAATCTAACTTGAACTAAGATAGTACCTTAGTTTGGACATGATATTTATCACTGGTTTATTTAAAAATTCATTCATTAAAGATAATACATACATTTTTTGAAAGATTATGAGAAAAGTTGAGGGTACAGAGAGAATATTGTTTTAAAGACTGAATCTTTCATAGCTCTTAAAATAAATGAGAATAACTGTGTCTGATATAGTTACATAGTTTATACACTGAAGTATCTTCATTGCTATAAGTAAAAAAAATAGATAAAATCAATACCAAGGGAATTTAAGATGATACCTTCTGATCTATGCACCCACAATCTATAAGAACATAAAGTTGTTTTGTAATAAAAAAAATAATGAGAACAAAACAATAGTGTTTTAGTCTTTATTCTGTCATTTTAAGTCAGAATTGCCTCTCTACTGGCTGTAACATATGGCAATCATAGAATGTGCTCACCATTGGCTGGCATTGACAAAATTATCAGAGCCACTATCTTTTACATTCCAGTAACATAGAGTTAGAATCTGGCTTTCTGGTTTGTTATCTAATTTTGGAGGGGAAACTCTGAGAGGTCTCACTCTGAGTTTTAAAAATAGAATACATTCTTAACTCTCCAGGGTGGGTGCCTATTTTCCTGTTCATAGACAGCTTGGTGGATTTAGATGGCTCCACAGTATCTCTCCACTAGCTCTATGATTGTATAATAAGACAGACTACTCAGCAAAAGTAGAACCATATCTGCAATACATTACCTTCATTTGTGTTTAAGATATGTGTCACTTATAGTCTGGGAGAACAAGGATAAAGATCTTAAGGATGGATTAGTATTCCAATGACCTATTGATCTTTCAGTCAAACTTCTTATTGAAAAGGTGAAATGGATAATGATGCTTGGCAGTGTACAGATGTGGCTTTGTTTTGTTTTAGGGAGAATGGCCAATCACAAAAATAGGTGCCTTCCTGGAAAAGTGAGATTCTAACTCTTTGTGTTACTGGAATGGAAAAGATAGTGGCTCTGATAATTTCATCAGTGCCAGCCAATGGTGAGAACATTCTATGATGGCCATATGTCACAATCAGTAGAAAGGCAGTTCTGGTTCAAAATAGCAGAAGAAAGACTAGAACACTATTGTTTTGCTAACAAAGTTTTGTTCTCATTTTTTTTTTCTTATTACAAAGTGACTTTGTGTTCTTACAGTTTGTGGGTGCATAGTTCATGACAATGGCTGGGACATTTAACTTGTTTTTCCTCACTGTGATATAGGTGGAATGAGAGAATAAAACAGGGTGTTTCTTGATCTTGTTTAGTGCATCCCCAATCTTGCTTATGACAAGTTTGAATAAGTGCAGTGAAGAGAGGGGAGAAAAACTGGGAAAATGTAGAGGTCTCATGTAAATGCACTAAAATTTGCAACACATTTTAAATGGGAGTGTTATTTGTATTTTCTATGGTTGGTGGTTTCGCATGTTTGGAAAAAACCCAAAATTTTATTTTAAAAGTAAAGTCATAAAGACAGCAAAAAAAAAAAGCCAACAAAAAGTAATGAAAGTTTTCCTTATAGCTTAAACATGAATGACAAATATTTTTGAGCTAACTTTTGGAAATGTCCACCTCTTTGAGTGATAGACAGTTAAAGAACCCAGGAAAATTGCTAAAATGGTATCCTATTGGGCAAGTAATGAATGAATCTTTTTGTGGGAAAAGATGCCAGTTAATTTTCAAATTGGACAATCTCTGAAAGGAACTATGAAGTAAGCATATGTATAAGCATAGTGAATACATACAAGCATATTGACTTAGATTAACAGCCTTACAAAAAGCAAAACCCTACTTATAAATAATAAGCCCAAATGAATAGGGGAATAGATTAGATAGGAAAGACAGTAGGGAGTCATAACATATGTTTTTAAAAAATTTACCCATCTTTAATTCTGTCAACTATATTAGAGACCAAATGTTACCTAGGAGAGAGCTCTGAGGCCTCTCTTCCATGGGAGAAAGTAATCTCAATGAGTTTTTAAAGTTCTTGAAAACACTTAGTACTTTTAAGTAAACAAAATTGTCTCCATGGTCTTGTTGACAACATCATTTCTGGCAACCTCCCTTCCCTTGCCCCTGACCATTATAAAGGAAAGTTATAGCACGTGTGGTGTTAAATTTTCAGCTCTGGTGACGGCCTTAATGAAAATTAACTGTACTTCCCTCTGGACTCCTGCTAGAAGCACTACATTTTATAACCTCTATTTCTCTTTGAATTTTTGAATAAAATGGAAGAGTGACAATATGAAATGTACCAATCTGCTTTGATGTATACATTAAAACTTGAATTGTCCAAAAATAGGATTGATGTGATATATTTTACAAAAAGCAAGTACTAAGCAATATCAATAGTATAATCCATTTTTCTATCTAAGAAACCTACATATTTTACACACATATTTGTACATGTGTGTAAAAACAATCTGAAGCTTGTGAACAGTGGCTACCCTCTGGGAAATGGAATGAACGGATAGAACTTACCATATGTTTGAACTGCCTGATTTAGGAGAAACATACATGTAAGCTCTTATTTAGAAAACCAGTAAAAATGTTGAAAAATTGAAATAAAAATACAGTTGTACTATATAGTAAAAATTTAGTTCTTTGAATTTTATGATGCTTCACAATAGTTTGGTTGTGTGTTGGTTTAAAGTTTTTTACCTTTGCAGTCACTGGATTTGCTAAGCAAATAAGGTAAACTCAGGACTGGTTGGTAACTTAAATTGCTTCTAAGCATTTGAAACCACTGTGATATTATCAAATTGTAGAGAGATCAAAATTTTATCAGCACATTCATTTAAGTCCCATGACAAATGGGAGATTTTGTTAACTTGACTCATAGGAGTTTGAAAACATTAAATGTAAAAAGTTAAAACTTCATAGAAAAAGAATGGATCCACTTTGAAAGCAAACAGAAAAATCACTGTCACCTCATTTATTACACAAATGGAATTCTAAGAAGACAGATTTGCC